TCAATATTAGAAATATATTATTCAATCTAGACCAGCTTTTTTGAATAGTACCTAGGGTACTATATACAGCACTATATGGTAAATACTTATGGATTGAATTAAAAATAGCAAAACAAGTTCATCATATCAGACCAGACTACAAGTACTTACCATTATGTCCAAATTATTTATTCGCATTAATTTAGCTGGTGGGTATAAAGAACATTTATTAATGGATTGAATTAAGAATAGCAAAACAAAATCACCAAACAAGAATATAAATCCTTACTTATTACACCCAAATCGTTTATTCACATTAATTTAACCAGTAAGTATAAAAAATGTGTGTCTATTAATAAATTGAATTAATAATAGCAAAATGAATTTACTAAACAAAAACATAAATACTTACTTACTATTATAATCAAATCATTCATTTGTATTAATTTAGGTGGTAGTGTAAAGAAAATTATTAATAGATTGAATTAAGAATAGCAAAGCAAGTTCACCAAACAAATTTACATATTACTTCCAAATCATTTATTCGTATTAATTTAGCCAGTGAATATAAAGAATATTTACTCATGATTGAATTAAAAGCAGCAGAATAAATTCATCAAATCAGAACATAAATAAATACTTATCATTACGACCAAACTATTTATTTACATTAATTTAGCTGATAAGCATAAAGGATATTTATTAATAGATTAAATTAAGAACAGCAAAACAAGTTTACTAAACAAGACCACAAATATTTACTTACTATTATACCAAAATCATTGATTTACATTAATTTAGCCAGTAGATATAAAGAATGTTTATTCATAAATTAAATTAAGAGCAACAAAACAAATTCATCAAATAAAAACATAAATACTTACCATTATGCGCAGATTATTATTTGCATTAATATACCTGATGAATATAAAGAACGTTTATTTATAATTAAATTAAAAGTAGCAAAACAAATTCATCAAACAAGGACATAAATACTTACTTACTATTACACTTAAATTGTTTATTCACATTAATTTAGCTAACAGGTATAAAAAAATATTTATTAATAGATAAAATTAAAAATAGCAAAAACAAGTTCTCAATAATATAAATACTTACCAATATGTTCAAATCATTTTATTTATATTACTTTAGTGATGAAAATAAAAATACTGTTAAGATTTATGATGAATTAAATAAACTTATTACAAAAATTTAAAAATTGCAAAAATTGTTTTAATTTTAATTAAAAAATGCTAATATATATACAAAATTCTTTTTTAAGTATATATGCTACCAAAATAGATTTTTAAAAAACCCTTATTTCGTCTCTATTAGAGCAATTTAAATTTTTTTATATGTAATAGCAAATCAAATTTAGGTAGTTATGTTTCTTATAATTTCATCTTTTCAAAAAAAGTGGCATAAAATTTTGTCTTTTAAGTAAAATAGGTCAAAAACAATTTCATCTTCAAATTATAATTTTATATCTGAAATCTAAATAATTTTGTCAGCATGTATAGTTTTAAGTCATAAAATAACTATATAGAATGTAATTAATATTGTATACATAGCAAACCTTAAATATTGTTGTTTTAGAGTTAGGGTGAAAGCTTAGAGTTAAGGTTAGATAGGTATTAGTTATATAAATATTTAAATTTGCATGCGATCTTATATATATATGGGATGATATTGAATAAAACCTACAGAGAAGACTATTAGAAATGTTCATAAAAATAAAAATAAATTAATTTTTTATAAAAAAAAAAAAATCAAATAAATAAACAAATTAAATAAACAATAATAAAAACTAATATATATATTGCATTATCAAACCTTAAATGAAATGAATCTTTAACCAAAAAAAATACTCTAATAGACCCTCTACATTGCATACAATTGATAAAAACAAAAGTTTGATAACTATACTTAATACTAACTATAACAGAAATCAGCTAAAAACCTCTTCAAACATATAAACATCAAATTCAATTTTGATAAATCACTAAATTAAAAACAAATACTAGACAACTCCATCATATTCTTATTACTGCTAAACAATTAATTATACTCAAACTTTACATTCATAACTCAAACATAAAATCGATCTTTATTAACAACTAACCACTTTAAATATCAAAAAATCTCATAATTCTATTATATTAACAAAAATAAAATAATTTGTTTCGCCTTATCTTGAAATCTGATTAGCCAATATGATAAAAAAAACTCCCAGCATATAAGCAGATGCACAACTTGTTTTTATATATAAGTACTGCAAAGTGAAAAGCTAGAAGTGAATACTTGAAGATTTCACTATAGCGAGTTTAGCCCCTAATAAATTATAATATTACGTATTGATAATTAGTGTTCTGGTAATTTCAGTAACGTGCATACTTTAAAAATCGGTTAATTAATAAAGCTGATGAACCTAATTTGTATTTCTATATTAAGATAATATATATAATCGAACCTGATCATACACATGATAATTACATAACATCAGAATCTATCAGGAGCTAAACTTGCTATAGTAAAATCTTCAAGTATTCACTTCCAGCTTTTCACTCTGCAGCACTTATATATATACATATATAAATTATGTGTATATATATATTTAGTTTAAAGTTGGGCCAGGTAATATTTGGGATCTCTGTTAAATTTAAAATTTAACTCAGTTCCCCTTTTTATATATATATATATAAATTAAGATTAGGTTAGATAATATAAGAAACTTTGTTAAATTTAAATTAATAACAGAGGTCTTATAAAGAGGCTTTACTTATTTGTAATGAATGTTTAAAGTAAAGACACTTATATTTCTTAATAATGAATCTTAATTAACTTTAGAGTTAGGATCATTCTATATTAGGGTTAGAATAGGTTTTAGATAGTTAGATATAAGCAAAATTGCCTTCCTAACATTTTTGAATAACTTACCCAAGGCAGGTTTAGACTGTTGTTTTTTGTATTTTTTGGGTTTTTAGTTTTTATTTTTTGGTTTGCTTTGTTGACAATCATCAAAATTCTATAATTTTGATTAGTAGTTAATCACATAATCTGCTTCTGCTTTAGAACTACCCCAGGATCACCAGAAAAATTATTGGAAAAGTTTCTAAATACTTACCAATTACGTGTTTTTTACTTTAGGGTAGGTACACTATCACATAATAGGTTTTAGATTTATAATAGGGTAGGTACAAAAATTACCTGAATTAGTAAGGATCCATGTAAACTAGTAGATATCCAGAGACTTTTTCAAAATTACTACTGTATGTAATTTTTTACTGTTATATGATTATCAACAAAATCAAGCCAATAATGAACCATGATTTAGTGTAATATTACTTGATCAAAAAATTTTAAAACAAATGTTCGCTTAGAAAAAATCGCTTATACACAAAAATTCATATAGGAAACCACCATTTGGCATTAATAAAAAATTTTCCTTGACTGATTTTACTATTAAACACTTAATCCTAACCCTAAAATAGGCTCTAACTCTAATATAACTAACATTAAAAAAGGAAAAGTCTCTGGACACCTACTGATCATGTGCTTTTTACTTTAGAGTAGATACATTATCACATGATAGGTTTTAGATTTATAATAGGGTAGGTACAAAAATTATCTGAATTGGTAAGAATCTATATAAACTGGTAGGTGTCTAGAGATTTTCCTATTAAAGAAATTTGTCAATATCACATGATAGTAAAATTTTTCTGGTGATGCTGGGGAAGATCTGCTTTAGACGTCCCCCTTATTTGTGCCAGTAATATAAACTTTTAAAAAGGAAATAACCAATTAGTGAGTTTGAATTTTGATCATTTTGGATTAGCCTGATATAAATCCAAATACGTGTAAAAGAAGACAAATATCAGAAATAAAATTTTATATATAATGAGCAAATAGTCTATGGCATAGCTTCTAATAGTAACTTCCTAATCCTAAATTTGTGTTTTTATGTACTTTATTTATTTACAAATTAAATTTCCTTTTTTGAGTTGTATTACTGGCACAAATAAATAAAGCCCCATAAAGAATCCCTCATCCAGGATTTTAGTATGAGTATTGGATCGATTTTATACTAGGTTTACTTCTGAATAAACAAAATAATCACTATATTCATCACTACATTTAAAAAATGAGCGTGAAATAAATTCATACTAATCACTTTGCCAAGCATGTATCTATGTTATTATTTTTTGGTTTTAGCTATAAGATAAAAAAATGATTATATGTCACAGTAAAACATCATGATAACTATAATGTGAATGCAACATATGAAGTCAATCAAGAATATAGAATTGCAAATTTTAACTAGTTTGTGATTTCTTAACATATTTGAGAGGAGAATAAATCATTCTTGTTGTCATTTTTTGAGAGATCTTACCCATATTATCATCATTTCACAAAAAGCTCTGTATGGCTTCTGAACTTTCGTTTAATAAATGCTAATTTATAAAAATATTAATGCTATATTTTATATTATATTTTCTATAATTCATTTATACCTCATATTTTAACAAGCCTATTACTGTATCATAGACATTTTTTATATCTTTCTAGGTCTTTAGAATAGGAATTTTTAATATTTCTACCATTATGTAAATTTCAGAATATTTAAGTTGAAATTCGTAGATAATCAACTGATATACTGTAAATATCATGAAATAGTAACTCGCGAAAATAATAAACAACATATAAAATAAGAACTTACAATATGACTGTATTGCATATAGCTTAACTGTTTTAATATCAGAATTTGGATGCAGTTCTGCGAACTTATTCATTAAAGTCTTGAGCATCTTTGTGATCTTCATTCTATCTCCCTTGAAATGTGTCCAATCATGTTTTGATGGAGGTCCGCTAATCTCAATTATGGAGAATTTTTCATCCTCTTCCCTTAATGAAATAATCGTGTCGATTTTCCTACTAGGAGCCCTATTTTTATCATCTTCCTTCTGAGCATTGCAGTCTTTGGCACTCGCTTTAAAGCAAATATCTTCATATTGTGCACGTCAGCTTTTTTTATTTTTGATAAAAATTTTATTAAGGATTGGTACTAAAATGTTAACTATGTAAGTTTCTTCTGATATGGGTTCAAGAAACAAGTTTGTGTCCTCCATCATTTCTATCCTATATAAATCATAGTTAGTTTCATTTCATTAGAAATTAAAAGATATAGATAAAGACTCACATGTGATTCACAAAGTACCAAGCAAAATTTGTTTCAAATAAATTTTTGCACTCTTTTGGTTTAAGTTTTATTTTAGTCATATTAATATCATAAGAAATAATTTCTTTAAATAATGATTTAATATCTTGTTCGATATTGTTTAGCATTTTTTTCTTCTCCTTTATATCTTTATTCATTAGTGCAACTGTATCTTCTTTTAATGTTTCTAAAAAACTATTTGCATCTATAGTATTAAAAAAAATTACATCATAGTACTCCGGCTTAGTTTTTGATAGTTAGTGAATTTTTGTTAGATATCAAGACCGTTTACAATCCAGGAAGTATTTTGACCTCCAATAATTGTCTGATTTGTATTGTATTTTTCTTTAGTGTCATCTTCTTCTTCAGAATTAAGATGATGCTTATTGCTGGCTATGAAAGAATTTGAATCAACTTGGTTGAAAATAAGCCTCGAAATATATTTAGGAGATTGTTCTGGGAATGTATCATAACCTGTACTTCTAGTCATAATTTGTTGTTTCAGTGTCTTTGATCTGATCTACTCACTAAAATATCTGCTTAGGTGAATATTGTATTTAATGTAGCATTGGCAGATTTTGCAATATCAACTGATAGTGCAAGCTATATATAATTTGGCCTATATGTTTTAGTAAAATGATATTTATTTGAATAATTTTAATACTTTGTTTACCAATACTTTGTCTTAAAAAATAGCTGATCTAACCAAACAAGAATTAGCCTTATTTTCGAGAGCTTCTAGCATTTTTAAATTTTGTTTTTTTTGAGCTTCATAAGTATTGAGAAATTCTTTTGCTTTAGCCTTTTGCTTGTTATTAAATTTGGTTAATTTAATAATAATCTGCAATTCTTTTTTATAAAAATATAAGCAATTTTTCTTGCTAAATACAGATTCATCAATTGATTTGGCAAAAAAGCACAAGTCTCATTGTTTAGATAAACTAGTAATAAAATATGAGTCAATAAAGCTTTTTATTGAGCTCATTAAAACTTTTGACTTTTCTCTCTTTTCTTCAAAAGTTGCTATTTTACTTGTCGTGTTACTGAAATATTTACGCTTGAATTTTATATCAGGTATATGGTTAATTTTCTTTTAATAACAAAAAATTGATGTTAAAAAAAAATGAATAATAATTTTATATAAATCATTATGTATCAATAGTATTTATACCTTTGAGTTCGTCTTTGTTCTTAAGATTAAACTTTCTGCATAAGAAATTTTTTTTTTCTACGAAATACTCTGTTATTTGATTAAAATTCTTTCTAAAAAAACAAAAATAAATTGTTATACTAAATAACGTTTTTTTAAATATATAACAAATTATAAATTAAAACTATACATTCTCTTTAACAACATTTTGATCTGTAAGATCACAATTCAAATCTTTAACTAATATTAAAATTAGACTTTCCGCATAAGAAATTTGTTTTCTTTCACGTAGTATTCTATAATTTGAAGGTTCTCCTTTTTAAAAAAAAGACAAATTGAAATAAACAAAATAAATAGATTTTAAAGTCGTGTAATAGATCACAGATTAGAAATTATACATCTTCACCAGCAATATTCTAACTTATAAGACCACAATTTAAATCTTTGGTTAAAATAAAAAATATTGTTATTAATAACACTTATAATTATTATTACTGTATATAGAATAAAGTTTATCGATATATCAAATATATTTCCCTAAGTATTTAATAGAAAATTTAATTAATGACATGTTCATTAAGTAAGATTATGTAGTAAATAACAAGTGTAAGTTTCTTGATTAGGAAAGCTCTAACTAATTCCTTCTTTGGAAACAGTAGGCCTTACCAAAAAACTTTGTTAAATTGTATATCTCTTTGTGGGAGCTATATGAACCACCTTTGTCAAATAACCTAAAAGGTAATACTGTGAAACAATGGATAGCTCCTTTGCAATAGAATAGCTCAGAAGCACTCACAAAAAACAACCTGAAGATGGTCTTTTGCAGAAACCATATAAGCCATATATACCAAATAGCTTACAAAGCAATAAGTGAAGCGAAGGATATTATCTTCACACTTTGTTAAATAACCTAAAAGGTAATACTATAAAACAATGTATAGCTTCTTTACAATAGAATAGTTTAGGAGCACTCACAAAAAACAAACTGAAGATGGTTTTTTGCAGAAGCTGTATAAACCACATATATCAAATAGCTTACAAAGTAACAAGTAGAACGATGGATAGATCTTCACACCTTGTTCTATAAATGATGCACCCTTTTACTAAATTAAACCAAATAACTCAGATATATTTACAAAGGCAACCTTGGGGAAAGAGAATTGTTTCTACTAGAAAATATACTTACTCTAGTATATTTTTTTTTTTACGAGATTGTTTTTGAACTTTTCTGCTTATAGTATACTGCATCTAGTGATGATACCCGATCAGAAAAATGCTACCCAGATATCCGACGGATATATCCGGCAGGTTACCTGGGTGATTGACAGATATATCTGGGTATAAAATTCTATCTGAGTAAATATAGCGGGCTTTCATTCCGATTGGCTAATTTTTGTAGATCATCCCGTTATATGCCAAAATATTATTGATTAATTGAGATTATTCGTAACCGTAATGATTAAATATTTACAAAATTCCTGGAACATCTGAATGATTTTTCGGCTGTTATATACATATACATTGTAATTTGATTATATATATATGTTTTCGCACAAACTAAGCTGTTAGGCAAGTGTTCAAATGAAAATTTAATAATACTAAATGTGTTGGCATTTAAATTTATCTGCAGAACTAGTATTATGGCTTTTATATACGGGTAGAAATTTGCGTAATTTTATATATAACTAGCATATATTATTTGTATATAAATAGCGTTGGCTAAAAACTTCGTAAAGCTAACATATAAAGTCTAGTAGTGCTGGTAAAACTTTCGCACTATTTAATTGCTAATGTAAAAGTTACATATGTACGTACATACTTACGTGAATATGTACAATTTTGTATTTTTATTAAATCTATTATTCTAAAATTACAAACTTAATCGAATCGGCTGGAGTACCATTCAGTCAATTTTTATCAGGTGTTCCGGAAATTATGAAAATAGCAGTCCTCTGTGCTTATCTACTCGGGTATTATTCTGGTATATCTACCCGGATATTATCTGGGTATGTTTACCTGAGTAGCTGAGTATACAACCTGGCAGGGACCCAGAAAATTATTGATTTGCATAAATCGATACAAATTAATATTTTTTACCCAAATCAATATAAATCAATATTTTTTACCAAAATTATGGATGTGATGATTTGATTGGCCATTTATAGTTACGTGGTAAGTTAATATAAAATTGATATTTTTTTGCAATATCAATTTAAATTTAAATTTCGATCTGATTATTGCAAAAGGTTTTTATAAAGAATGGTAATTCTATTAGGATGACCTAATGATAGAATGAAATTAAAAAGTAAATATCATTATGTCTATATTACTTTAGTATGAGAAAGAGGTTCTTCCGTTTATTAGAATAAACACTTCACTTTTATATATTTAGATTATTATAAAAGAGAATACATTCTGGAACCTACTTTATGACATCAAAGGTACTATGATCTTGTGTTAGTCTTATGTCAATATATACACTGCCTTCTTTGAGAGCTTTATAACAATCATGATACTAATTTAGTTAAATAATCAATTACACCAAAAAGGATAAGATTACAAAAGTAATCGTTACATTATTAAAATGATAAAAAATTTTTTTCAGAATATCAAATTAATCTATATTTGATACTTTGACAAAAAAAAAACTCTAGTTTTTTTTTTTAGAAGTGTGTTGTTGGGCACTTTGCCTTGGTTATTAGCAATTTTTTGGGCCTTCCAAAAAAAAAGAAAAAAAAACTCTGGGAGGAGGTTTTTACTAGTAGATACTTAACTCTTTAAACAAAAAAAAATTTTTTTTTTTTGTTAAAGTAAGTTTTCTTTATATTAACTAATTTTTATTAATATTATAAAATTAATTTTTATACATATTAAATTTTGTAGGTTTAAAAACTAAGCATTATGCCACCAAAACGTATTACAGCCTATAGCCGGGCTCAAGAATTTCCTAATGATTTTAAAGCTGATAATGGTCTTTTGATGTGTCATTTTTGTGCAGAATCTGTAACTTTTACAAGTAAATCTGCAGTAACAGCTCATCTTGGTTCAAAAAGACATAAAAAACATAAAGCAGAATCTATTGAAAGAGAAAATTCATTAATCCAGCCAACACTTAATACTTTTATTTCTGCTCAAGATTCTAAATGAATGGTAATTTCTGAATTAATTAAAGCCTTTGTTAGTGCAGATATACTACTTGAAAAAGTGGATAAGTTAGGAAATTGGATCAGAAAATATGTTCGTGATAGAGGTTCAATTCCAAAATCAGATACTTTAAGGCGTTATTATTTGTCAAGTGTTTTTGATAATCACTTAACTAGTTTAAAAGAAACATTTGCAAATAAGTGTATTAGTATTATTGTAAATGAAACCACCGATGTTAAGATGAGAAGTGTAGTAAACATTTTGTTTAACTATCATAAGGATACAAAATTAGTAGTAGTTGATTATTTAGTTAATGTAAATAATGAAACAGTTGGACAACTTATTGTTAAAACTTTAGTGCAATAGGATATTCCTTTTAATATGCCAAGACTAATCGTATCTGATAGTGCTGCATATATGAAGAAGTGTATGCGAGAAGTTCTAAAGCCTATAATGTCACAATTGGTTTACCTTCCATGTTTAGCACACATTATAAATTTAATTGGGTAAGCATTTTATACTTTAATGTAATATGACACGATCAAAAAAAAATAAAACAAGGTTCGCATTATACATGATACAAAGAAACCTTCCCATGAACTTGGATTGATTATCAATAGCACTCTAAATTTGGTTAATTTTATTAGTTTATTTATTAATATGTATTATTTTTTGACTAGAGAATCATGGGCTTCGATTTCACATTTTGAAATTATTCATAAGTTTCTTATTGATATAAAAAAAACTTTTGCTATATCTAAAAACTGGCGTGTACGATATCTTAATTATTTAAAACGTTATAGAGTTTCTCAACCTACCAATATTCTATTATCTACTACAACAAGATGGAATTCCTGGTTTAATATGGTATTTTATGTAGCAGAGTATTTGGAATTAATTCATGGTTTTTATCAAGAAGAAAGTCAAGATTATTCTGCACCAGTTATTGAACGTATTATGGCATTGTTTGTAGATCGAAATAATAATGGTTTGATTAAAATTTATTTAAATTTTATTAAATCTTATGCATCTAGATTTGTTTTAGATTTAGATTTTTTTCAACAACAATTAGTACTTATTTTTCCTTTAGTTGAAAATAGAATAGAAAATTTAGATATTTTTCTTCGTAATAGTAAAACATTAAATAATCTTGAACAGCCATTATTAGATATTTTTACAAAACTTAATACTTCTTC